AATCCATTTAGGTACCTGTAGTCCACACATAATCTCCAGGTTGCATCTTTCTTTTTTACTAGAATGACAGGAGAAGCAAAAGGGTTGTTGCTGTCCTGGATGATTCCAGCTTCTAGCATTTCCCTCACAATTTTCTCAATTTCTGCCTTGTGAGTGTGTGAGGACCTATAAGGGAATTGATGCTTAGGCAAACTGTTAGGCTTGAGGATGATTTGGTGTTCTACTCCCCTGCTTGGGGGTAACCCCTTTGGCTCCTGGAAAACCCCCTGAAATTCCTCAAGTATTGCTTCAACTTCTTGGGAGTTTCTTTCATAATCATGTTTAGAGAAGGTGACCCAATATACTTCTTCCACTGTTTCATTGAGGTTCTCATGAATCATTTTGTATAATGAGGGTCCTGAGATAAATTTGCACTGAGCCTCTGATTTCATTGCTTGTATTCTGACTCTCTTTCCTTGCAAGGTTACAGTTACCCTCATTTTCTCATAATCCAATTCAATAGGTGTGCAACTCTTTAACCAATCTCCCCCCAAAATCATGTCACAACCTTCATTATCTAGAACCCTCAGTGAGTAAGTGAAAGTGTGCCCCTGTATTTTCCAGTTAAAACCCTCTGCTACTTGAGTGCTTAGCATCCTTTGCCCATTTGCAACCCTGACAACAATAGGAGTAGTATCCCTCAGACTTAGATTGAGATTCTTTGCAGTACTTGCTTGAATGAAACTTAGGGTACTCCCAGAGTCAATGAGGATATGCAGTTTGTGTTCTTCTGTCAGTCCATACACCCTCATAGTAGTAAGCCCATCTTCCCCTGCAATAGCATTAAGAGACATCTGTATCTCCTCCAAATTCTCAAAGGCTTCTCCCTCATCACCTGTGGTTTAGACAGTTTGCAAATAACTGACCTCTTCTTCCTCAGTCATCATCATATAGTTGAGTCTATGCTTGCACCTGTGCCCATAAGTATATTTTTCATCACAATTATAGCAGAGTCCCTTGTCCCTTCTGGCAGCCATCTCAGCTGAGGTTAGCATCTTAATTGGATTTCTCTGAGGGTTTGATATGTTCCTGACTGGGACACTGAAAGGCACCTCAGGCTTCCTGGTAGGTTGATAGTTGGATGTATAAGGTTTGTTTGGCCCCTTCAACCTTTTGGTGATAGCTTCCAAAGTAGCTAGTTGTTTCTTTCCCAGTTCAATAGTCTGCTGTAGAGTCACTGGCTCAAACATGTGAATAAAAGACTGTAATTCCTCTGAGAGACCACTGATGAAGCTTGCAATAAAGTAGTCCTCTGAATAGTCCTGATTAATGCATAGCATACAAGCCCTTAGCTCTTCAAATTTTTCTACATACTCCCCATAAGAGCTAGTGTGTCTCAGCTTGTTGAACTCTCCAATAATTTTAGAATCCTTTAGCTCTTCAAATCTGGCAGCAATCACCTCTAGGAATTGTGCCCAAGTAAGGTCACCGCGTTTGCAGCTGAAATTTTGAAACCATTGGGCTGCTTTTCCCTCAAAATGCATAGAAGCTAAATTCACTTTCTGTTGGTCTGGGATGTTTGGTATGATTTTGAAGTAGCTGTTGCATTTTAAGATCCAGGATCTAGGGTTACTCCCATCAAAACGAGGAAATTCAATTTTTGGAAGGGGGCTAATTATGTGTGAGTTATGTTGCTGTTGCTCAAATGTGAATCTGGGTGTATGCATTTTATGAGATCCATCAGACTTAGAATCTGGGTGGGGGCCGAAAATAGATGCTCACCAGATCCTCTGGACTTGTCCATATTCAACAGTTGCAGTTGTATAGAGTCTATTGCATCACTGAGATGATCATATTTACCATTAATACCCTGCAGCTGAGTTTTCATTTCTGTGTTTGAAGCTTTCCACTCTGAGCCTAACTGTGCGATCTGATCATGAAGCTTCATTTCCACTGCTTCTCGTTTGAGTAGCTCAGTTTGTATGAATTGATCCATTTTTTTCTGTGTTTCTTGCAGGTCTTTGAAGCGTGTTCCCTCCGCCATGGCCAGGATTTAGCTCTGTGTACCAATTGTTAGGCTCGACTATTGTATAATTTTTGGCTAATTAATTGTAATTTTCTATAATTTTCATAGAAGGAAAGGTAGAAGATGATTAAGAGGAAGAGAGAGAAAAGGTGAGAGAGAAACAAGAGAGAGAAGAATTTTGTTAGGCCAAATCTGATTTTTTCTGACATTCCACTCGTTTTTACCCTACATTGTGGTCCCACCATCAAAACCATAAACATGGGCCTAGAACAAACTCCAGCCCAAGTAAAATAAAACTAAAGTTTCAACAATAAATAAAAGAGCCTCAGTGGCCCAAATGAAATAACAACAATGAGAGCCCGATTGATCCAAGAAAACTAGTTTAGGCCCGCAAAGTTGAGACATTTGTTTTCTCCTCTGACTGGCATCGCAAACCCTAATTCCTTCATCTCCGATTCCATTCCGTCTTCCTCAACCAAATTCTTCTCTTCACCCTCAAAGATCTCGCCTTTTTCCATGGATTTCGATCCTTTTCCGTCGAAAGATGCGATCTTTTGGTCACATAGGCCTTGGTTCATGACATCTTCCTCAACACAATTTTTCCATTACTCAATTTCAGTATACTCATACACATACTGACTTAAGCATCGGAGGCACTTCACCGGACACAACCCCCAGTGTGAGAGTTATTTGCAGGTTTCTGACGTTCTACCGGTGAGGAAAAGAATCGATCTACACCAAACCGGACCAGGACGCTCACACCTGCATTAGTATTATATCCCATAAAATCGGTTTAACAAAAAAAGCCCCCATAACAACCTATAAGTAAAAAAAGTACGTAAAATCTTTACTAAAATAAAAAAAAAAAGTTTTATTTATTATCTAATTGTATAGAAATCAGTTCTGATATTGTTCAAACCGATTTCTGTATATTCAAATTCAGATTTTTTAATATAAAAATATTAACAACAATATATATCTACTCTACCCATTATAAATTACAAATCTCAAAATATCGAGTCATCATCTTCCTCACTATCAACCTCCTGCGCACAAAAAATATCCTCAACCAGTCTTTTATTCAAAACAATGAATAAAGGATTTTGGTTAATTAAACAAGTCAATAGATCTAATAGACCTATGCTCAAAGTTCGAATTGTGAGAATGTGTTTTCAAGACTGGGGCAGCACATACAAATCAGATCTCGAGTTGGTTCTGCATGATAAAACCGCAAGCCAAATTATTTGAATTTTTGTTTTAATTTCAAAATTTGAAACGTATATTTTTTTTTCGTGTATGTATTTAGATATTTTTGTACATGTTTAGTGAAACATTTTTCGATTTTTTTTTAAATTATATTTTTAAATTTGCAATTTGGTTTATTTATTCTACATATCGTGTATGTATTTAGATATTTATATTATTTATATTTATTTTCATGTATTGTAAAACTTTTATTGAATATTGCATCTTATAGTATAATAATCCTCAAATAAATATATCACGTGCCTCGCACAGGTCACGTACTATATATATTCCGTATATTTTTCTTTATTCATTTATATAATTATAAGGCTGGATAAATGGACTTAAAATTGTGCACCCCGTGCATCGCACGGGCTCTGTACTAGTCAACTTTAATTCACTATTCATTCACTCACATAATTTTAACTAATCATCGCTTCAAATCATTTCTCTTACTTTTACATCAAATCAATTTTAATTATTTTATTTTAAATATTATTTTAATATACTCACTAACAACTAACCATACCACATTTTCAAATCAACCAAACCAAACAAAAAATCCAATCAAATAAAAAAAAAATATATCCAAGCATCTCGTAATGTCTTAATCAAGTTGTCAGTACTTAAATTAATTTTCTTTCCCTGCACTCCCTACCACTACATATTTTTCCTATCCAGTCCCCATATATATATTATTATGTGAAAATATCTATTTTTACCCCGTTTTGAAGTCTTGTTAAGTTTTTCACACCGCTCAATAAAAAGCTAAGTTTTTCACCCCAGAGAGTACGAAGGTTATGCGGAAATTGTCGCATATTCATCGCGTAATTGTCCATATGCGAATGTTATGCGAAAAACTGTCGCATAACTGCCGCATATCAATTGCATAATTGTGCGAAGGTTATGCGAAAACTGCCGCATATTCATCGCATAACTGTCCATATGCGAAGGTTATGCGAAAAACTGTCGCATAACTGTCGCATATCAATTGCATAACTGTGCGAAGGCATTGTGCGATGAATATGCCACAGTTATGCAATTGATATGCGACAGTTATGCGACAGTTTTTCGCATAACCTTCGCATACGGACAGTTATGCGATGAATATGGGACAGTTCTCGCAAAACCTTCGCACTTTCTGGGGTGAAAAATATAGTTTTTTATTGGGCGGTGTGAAAAACTTAATTTGTCTTTGGTATGGGGTGAAAAAGTATTTTTTCCCTATTATTATTATCCATTTATTATGCTTAAAAATCATAAAAATTTGGAAAAATCTCAACTCTCTCCCAATTCCGGTCTCTCTCTATGTAAAATAGGTCGACAATTCCCGTCTCTCTCTCAATTCCCGGTCGTCGCCCATCTCCTGTCCTCGACGGCTCTACCGTCGCGCCGCTGCCGACGATTATGTTATAATATGAGTGTATAA